CACTCACCTCAGCCTCCCAAAGGTGCAGGATTACAGGCTGAGCCACTGAGCCTGGCTAGTATTAAATCTTTTGTGTGGATCTCATTTAGATGGACTTTCATTTCATTTCTCTGAGCTTATATTGAACTAAATGTCTAGTTTTTTTTTTTTCTTTTTGGAGGAGACCATATTTACTACTACTGGGAATAAATAATACGTGATTACAAAACAATTTTGGAAGCTGGGTGTGGTGACTCAAGTCCCTAATCCCAGCACTTTGGGAGGCTAAGACAAGAGGATTGCCTGAGTCCAGGGGTTGGAGACCAGTCTGGGCAACAACATGGTGAGACCTTGTCTCTACAATAAATCAAAAAATTAGCTGGGCATGGTGGTGCATGCCTATAGTTCTAGCTACTTGGAAGACTGAGGCAGGAGGATCACCTGAGCCCAGCAGGTCGAGGCTGTAGTGGCCGTGAGTGTGCCACTGCACTTAGCCTGGGTGACAGAATGAGACTCCAATTCAAAAATAAAATAAAATAAAAAACAACTTTGGGGGGAAAATTCAGGTATAAATGCTAGTAATTATATATATAAAAATCATTAATTCTGAACAGTACCACGTGTTTGACACTTTAACAAATAGGTAGTAATAAAATCTGTGATCATTTTTGGATTAAGTAAGCAAAACTTTTGTTCACATCACCTGAAGTCTTTTTGAGAATTTTTTTCCATTATGCATGGATGTTGAATTTTGTCAAATGTTTTTGTTTGCATATACTGAAATGATCATATATCTTTTCTCTTTTTATTTTAGTATGGAATGCTTCACACATTTGTATGTGTTCTCCATATCATTCATAATTTTAGTATATGTACTGTTGAAACAACTATTCTCTTTTATTTTGTGAGTTACAGTGATTGATTTTCTGACTATTATGCCAATCTTACTTTCCTTGAATACATCCCACTTGGCCACCATGGATTACTCTTTTTATGTATTACTAAATTTAATTTCTTAGTACATAAAAAAATTATGTCTATGTTTATAAAGGATATTGTTTTGTTTTCTTGTAAAGTCTTTGATTTTGGAATAAGGGCAATGAGTTGGGAAGTGTTCTCTCTTCCTCTGTTTTCTAAAAGAGATTATCAATGTGTGAGAGAATTTACCAACGAAGTTATGTGGATCTGGAGTTTTATAGCAACTTTTTTTTTTTTTTTGAGTTGGAGTCTCATTCTGTCTGGAGTGCAGTGACACGCTCACAGCCACTGCAACCTCAACCTGCTGGGCTCAGGTGATCCTCCTGCCTCAGTCTTCCAAGTAGTTGGAACTACAGGCACATGCCACCACACCCAGCTAATTTTTAAAAATTTATTGTAGAGACGAGGCCTCCCAAGTTGCCCAGGCTGGTCTTGAACCCCTGGGCTCAGGCCATCCTCTCACCTCTGCCTCCCAGCGGGATCACAGGCATGAGCCACTGTATCTGACCTGTGGTAAATTTTAAAATTATGAATTTAGATGTAAATGCATATAGATTTATTCATGTTTTCTATTACTTATTGAGTTAGTTTTGGTAATTTGTCCATTTCATCTAGGTTGCTGAGTTTAGTGATATGAAGCTGTTTATAATATTCTCTTATTCATTTAATGTCTATAGAATCTGTAATGATACCCCAGGAATGAAATATCATTCCTGGTATTACTACTTTGTGCTTTATCTCTTTTTTTATTAGTCTAGCTAGAAACTTACCAATTCTATTTATGTTATCCAAGAACCACTTTGGTTTCATTTCTTATTGTTTTTATGTTTTCAATTTCACTGATTCCAGTTCTTTATTATTTCTTTCACCTACTTTGGGTTTCATTTTACTCTTCTTTTTCTAGTCTGTAGTCTTTCTGAAATTGTGTTTTCTGGTGTAGGTAGCATAGGCACACAGACAGTTTTAAAGATCATTCTAAGCCGGGCTCAGTGGCTCAGCCTGTAATCCCGCACCTTTGGGAGGCTGAAGTGAGTGGATTGCCTGAGCCCGCGGGTTAGAGACCCACCTGGGCAGCGAGACCTCATCTCTACAATAAATCAAAAAATCAGCCGGGCGTGGTAGTGCATGCCTGGAGCCCAGCAGGCGAGGCTGTGGTGGCCGGGAGCGGCCACTGCACTCCAGTCTGGGCGACCGAGTGAGCCTCCAACTCAAAAAATAAATAAATAAATAAAGATCATTCTAATTCAGCACTACGATTTTTTTTCTTGAGTTGGAATCTCACTCCATTGCCCAGGCTGGAGTGCAGTGGCATGCTCATAGCCACCCCAGTGTCCACCTGCTGGGCTCCGGCGATCCTTCCACCTGAGCCTTCCAAGGAGCTGGAACTACAGGCACGTGCTACCATACCCAGCTAATTTTTGCTTCATTGTAGAAACGAGGTCTTGCCAAGTTGCCTGGAACCCATGGACTCAGACAATCCATTCACCTCGGCCTCCCAAAGTGCTGGGATGACAGGCTGAGCCACTGAGCCCAGCCAGCACTATGATTTTAAGACTGGAGAAACAAGTATTAACCACTCTCTCCGGCTCTTGACATGCTTTCAAAAGCTCTGCAGGACCACACGCCAGGTACAAAGTATTGGGGGAGATGGAGGGTGGAGAATGGGAAAGTTGCCTGAGGGAAGCTAAATGCTGTGCTCTATTCATTGCCTATGACACAAATTGTACAAGTATGTATAGTGTTGACAGCTGACTTTATCAACCTTAGTCAGATGACTGTCAACTTTAGTCTTTCTGGTTTAGGTCTGTTTCTTCAACTGATACATCTATGAATTGCTTTTCTTAAGCTTAGTCATTCTTATTTAGGTCTTTTTTTTTTTCCTCCAGTCGGAGTCTCACTCTGTTGCCCAGGCTGGAGTGCAGTGGCATGATCATGGCTATTGCAGCCTCGAGCTGCTGGGCTCTGGAGAGCCTTCCACCTCAGTCTTCCAAATAGCTGGGACTACAGGTGTGTGCTACCACATCCAGCTAATTTTTTTATTTTTTTGTAGAGACGAGGTCTTGCCATGTTGCCCACGCTGGTCTCCAACCCCTGGGCTCAGGCAATCCACTCACCTTGGCCTCCCAGAGTGCTGGGATTACAGACTGAGCCACCGAGCCCGGCCAATATTCATTATTTTTAAATATAGTTAAACATAAATATTCTGTGGAAAAGAATTATTGCTGAAGACAAAGCATCATCAGTTTTACTTTTTCATTCTACTAGTTGGTAGTGGAATGACAACCTTTTCTTTCCTCTGCTCCCAGATACCCTGAACTTTAGTTATTGAAGCTCACTCCCTGTTCCTCAGTTGGGAATGAACTTCAAGAAAGCCAGGCATGGTGGCTCACGTCTGTAATCCCAGCACTTCGGGAAGCAGAGGTGAGAAGATTGCCTGAGCCCACGGGTTCGAGACTAGCCTGGGCAACATGGTGAGACCTCATCTCTACAATAAATAAATTTAAAAAATTAGTGGGCATGGGGGTGCACGCCTGTAGTTCCAGCTGAGGTGGAAGGATTTTCTGAGCCTAGTAGATTGAAGCTGCAGTGGCTGTGAGCGTACAACTGCACTCCACCTTGGGCAACAGAGTGAAACTCCGAAAAAAAAAGGACTTCGAGAAAAGCCTTGTGAGGAAAGGAGTCAGAGATATGGGGATTTTTAAAAGAACTTTTAAAATTCTGCACTTATAATTCCACTTTTAAAAGAAATCCTCATGGAGCAGACCAACTATTGAAGTTAGAAAGACTATTTTTATCACTGCAGTAGTAGCAATATTAATTATGCATAGTTTATTACTCTATTAAAAGTAGATGGAGTCTATTTCAAGAAAACACAATAAAACCTAAACCTAAATAAACAAGTTAGGAGTTGATTATTCATATTTCAAAAGGATTCTTCAGTTTTAAAAGGATACACAGCAGTTTTTTTCATAGGCTACAATACCCCTGTGGTTTTAAAAATCATTTAAAAAATTTAATTTACATATAATTTTTCAGGAACTTGTCTGTTGTACAGAATGATGCACAACTCTGCATGTATATAGAAAATACTGTAAACAAAAGGCTCATAAAAATTCCCCATAAATTATCTAACTAGCTATGACTGTAAGAAGGAATATAGCATTAGTTAAAATTCACAGAAAGCCACAAGAAGTTCTTATATTTGTCACTTTTTAGGATTATATATAAATACTCTACTTTGCTTGTTTCTAGCAAAAAACTAAGAACTTTAATATGCCAATTAGGCCTTTCCTTGATGACTAATTTATTGGAAAACTTTTCCTCATAAATGATACAAAAATAAACTTCAAGACGGGTTCGGTGGCTCAGCCTATAATCCCGCGCTTTGGGAGGCCGAGGTGAGTGGATCTCCTGAGCCCGCAGGTTCGAGACCCACCTGGGCAACTTGGCGAGACCTCATCTCTACAAAAAATCAAAAGATTAGCCGGGCGTGGTAGCGTGTGCCTATAGTTCCAGCTACTTGGAAGTCTGAGTGGAAGGATCGCAGGAGGCCAGCAGGTTGAGGCTGCGGTGGCCAGGAGCGGCCACTGCACTCCAGCCTGGGCGACAGAGTGAGACTCCAACTCAAAAAAATAACCAAAAACCAAAAACCAAAAAACAAAAAAAAACAAAAATAAACTTCAGCTCACCTGGTAGAATCATAGAAAATTTGAATTCGAGGCCGGGCTCGATGGCTCAGCCTGTCATCCCAGCACTTTGAGAGGCTTGAGCCTGCGGCTTTGAGACCAGCCCGGGCACTTTGGCGAGACCTCGTCTATTCAAAAAAAAAGAAAAAGAAAATTTGAATTCGTGAAGTTTGAAGACCCATAGTTGACAAATACTGCACATTACCCAAGAGTCCCCACGTCCCATGTCAGAACTGTCATCTGTCTAGTGTTCTGAGTCAGAGACACAGAAATCAGGGAACTAGACAGAGGGAGATGTTTCATAGTCCTAACCTTTTGGGTGCAACTGTGGTTTTGGAGTATCGGGTGAGGGCTCTCAACTAACATGGAAGCGGCTATCAAGCACCAGAAAAGGAAGATTTTGAAATCACAAGATAGTTCCTTTGAACTGCCTCTCTTCTCCAACTTCTAGTTTGATCCTTTATTTTCAATTATTATTATTATTTTTTTGGTAACAGGGTCTTACTCTGTTGCTCAGGCTGGAGTGCAGTGGCAATGTCATGGCTCACTATAGGCTGACTCCTGGGCTTAAGTGACCCTCCTGCCTCAGCCTCCCAAGTAGCTGGCACTGCAGGCACTTGCCCCCATACCTGGCTAATTTGGTGTGTGTGTAGACAGGTGTCTTGCTATGTGGCTCAGGCAGGTCTTGAACACCTGGGCCCAAGCGATTTTCCTGCCTTGGCCTCACAAAGTGTTGGGATTACAGGCGTGAGCCACTGTGACCAGCCCGATCTTTTATCATTAGTTCTAGAACTTTTTCTTTCTTTCTTTCTTTTTTTGAGTTGGAGTCTCATTCTGTCACCCAGGCTGGAAGACAGTGGCATGCTCCCAGCCACTGCAGCCTCAACCTGTTGGGCTCCGGCAATCCTTCCACCTCAGCCTTCCAGGTAGCTGGAACTACAGGCATACGCCACCATGCCCGGCTAATTTCTTGATGTATGGTAGAGACAAGGTCTTGCCAAGTTGCCCAGGCTGGTCTCGAACCTGTGGGCTCAGGTCATCCTCTCACCTCAGCCTCCCAAAGTGCTGGGATTATAGGCGTGAGCCACTGCGCCCGACTGATTCTAGAACTTGGAAAGAAGTGATGTTTGCAAGCTTGCTGCTTTTTGCCTGAAATTTACCTTAGGCTTAGTAACATGAAGTTCTTTCACCATTTGAATGTAGTGCTTTTTCCAGATCCCCTGCTCAAAGGGAGTTGGAGAAAAATTGATGTACCAGTTAAACCGCAAACATTTGAACATCCAGAGCTGGTCCAGCTCAGCTAGGTTCTTCCAATGCCAGCACACCTGGAGAAACAAAGACAACAAAACAACCTGCTCTGTTTACATGCCTACTTTCTCTAGGGTTTTTTTTTTTTTTTTTTGAGTTGGAGTCTCACTCCGTTGCCCAGGCTGGAGTGCAGTGGCATACTCACAACTACTGCAGTCTCTACGTACTGAGCTCAGGCGATCCTTCTGTCTCAGTCTTTCACAGGCACACGCCACCATGCCTGGCTAATGTTTTGATTTATCGTAGAGATGAGGTCTCATCAAGTTGCCCAGGCTGGTCTTGAACCCTGGGCTCAGGCAATCCTCTCGCCTCTGCCTCCCAAAGTGCTGGGATGACAGGCGTGAGTGAGCACTGCCCCGGCTTTCTCTAGGTTTTGAACTGTCACCCTGGTTCTGGGATCACTCTTTTGTCCTTCACCTCCAAACCACAGTTTAAATAGCTACCTCCCACCAGAAGTTCTTGCAGGCAGAATGATTTGACTTTACACGCCAGTCTGGGACTACAGGTGCAGATTAGAATCAGAGTCAACGAATATTTATTGAGCACCTACTAACCACCTTCATAGCAACCTAGGGAGATAAGCATAGTTATTACCCTCATATTGCAAAGGAGGAACTGAAACTCAGATAGACTCTGGAATTTCCTAAAGATTCTTAAAGGTCATATGGAAGTTGGATGAAGGTTACATAAACTAAGGTCTGTACATTGTTTATTCTTTTCATGATATGTTTTCTTTTACATCCATCCTTATAATTTCACTAAGTATAAATTTTCTTGTCTTTTTTTTTTTTTGAGTTAGAGTCTCACTCCGTTGCCCAGGCTGGAGTGCAGTGGCATGTTCATGGCCACCCTAGCATTGACCTGCTGGGCTCCGGGGATCCTTCGGCCTCAGCCTTCCAAGGAGCCAGAACTACAGGCACACGCTACCATGCCTGGCTAATTTTTGATTTATTGTAGAGACGAGGTCTCACCAAGTTGCCCAGGCTGGTCTCGAACCCGTGAGCTCAGGTAATCCACTCGCCTCGGCCTCCCAAACTGCTGGGATTACAGGCTGAGCCACTGCGCCCAGCTGCAATATTCTTATGAAGCATAATTTTTACACATAATTTTTGGAGTATGCCTATCAGACAAATTTCAAGAAGTAGAACTGCTGGGACAGAGGGAATTTTTACTTAAAAATGTAATATTAGCTGGGTTTGGTGGCTCAGCCTGTAATCCCGTGGCTTTGGTAGGCTGAGCTGAGTGGATTGCCTGAGCCCGCGGGTTCGAGACCCGCCTGGACAGCAAGACCTCATCTCTACAGTAAATAAAAAAAATCAGCCGGGCGTGGTAGCGCATGCCTGTAATTCCGGCTACTCAGAAGGCTGAGGCGGATCGCCGGAGCACAGCAGGCAAGGCTGCGGTGGCTGGGAGCAGCCACTGCACTCCAGTCTGGGCAACAGAGTGAGACTCCAACTAAAAAAAATAAAATTACAATAAATAAATAAAAAGTCTCAATCTTTGACAAGTGGGACCTAATTAAACTAAAGGGCTTATGCACAGCAAAAGCAAAACAAAACAAAAAACTATCGCTAGGGTAAACAGAAAACTTACAGAATGGGAGAAAGCATTTGCACTCTATACATCTGGCAAAGGACTAATATCCAGAACCCATAAGGAATTTCAATGATCTGACAGAAAAAAAAACAAACAGCCTTATTTAAAAGTGGGCAAAGCCAGCCTGGGTAATAAGCGAGACCTCATCTCTACAAAAGATCAAAAAATTAGCTGGACGTGGTGGCACGTGCCTGCATTTCCAGCTACTCAGGAGGCTGACGTGGGAGGATCACCTGAGCCCAGGAGGATGAGGCTGCGGTGAGCTGTGATTATGCCACTGCACAAAAAGAAGCCAACAAACATATTTAAAAATTGCTCAACATTGCTAATCATCACAGAAATGCAAATCAAAACCACAATGAGATACCATGTTATACCAGTCAGAATAGCTATTATTAAAAAGTAAGCTGGACATGGTGGCTCACGCCTATAATCCCAGACTTTGGGAGGCTGAGGTGAGAGGATGGCCTGAGGCCACGGGTTTGAGACCAGCCTGGGCAACTTGGCGAGACCTCATCTCTATCATAAATCAAAAAATTAGCCAGTTGTGGTGGAGCATGCCTGTACTTCTAGCTATTTGGAAGGCTGAAGCAGAAGGACTACCTGAGCCCAGCAGGTTGAGGCTGTGGTGGCCTTGAGTGTGCCATTGCACTCCAGCCTGGGCAACAGAGTGAGACTCCAACTCAAAAAAACACAAAAACCCCAGATGTTGGCAAGGTTGTAGAGAAAAAAGAACACTCATGCACTGCTGGTGGAAATGTAAACTAGTTCAGTCCCTGTGGAAAGCAGTTTAGAGACTTCTCGAGGAACTAAAATAGATTTACCATTCGATCCAGCCACCCTACTACTAGGTATAGACTTAAAATAGCATAAATCTTTCTATCCAAAAAGACCCCTACACTTGTATGTTTATTGCAGACTATTCACAATAACAAAAACATGGAACCAACCTAGGTGCCCATCAATGGTGGCTTGGGTGAAAAAATGTGGTACATATACACCTGGAATACCACATGGCCATAAAAAAGAACAAAATCATGCCCTTTGCAGTAATGTGGATGCAGCTGGAGGCATTATTCTGAGCAAACTAACACAAACAGAAAATTAAATAATGCTTATTCTCATTTCTAAGTGGAGCTAAACACTGCATACACATGGGAATAAGGATGAGAACAACGGATACTGGTGTCTCCTAAAGCGGGGAGGAAGGAGGAAGGACAAGGGTTGAAAAACTACCTTTTGGGCACCCTGCACACCATTTAGGTGACAGGCTCATCAGAAGCCCAAACCTCATTGCCATGAAATATACCCATGTAACAAACCTGCATATGTACCCCTTGAATCTAAATTTTTTTTTTACAAAGTCCCAATCTGAGTCATGAAAGATGGCATGCCATATGAGACTAAGCGTCTTACATATTTTAGTGACATCTGCACTGTATTTCTTTTTCTGTGAATTGCTTGTTCATTTTCTTTGTTCATTTTTCTGCTGGGTTGTTGGTATTTTTTTCCCTTAATATAAATTTATAGAAGCTCTTTTACCAAATAAAGAAATTAGCCCTTTGTTTGCAATAGATTTTTTTTTTTTTTGAGTCGGAGTCTCACTCTGTCGCCCAGACTGGAGTACAATGGCCGCTCCCGGCCACCGCAGCCTCGACCTGCTGGGCTCCGGCGATCCTTCCACCTCAGCCTTCCAAGTAGCTGGAACTACAGGCGTGCGCTATCATGCCCGACTGATTTTTTCATTTATTGTGGAGATGAGGTTTCACCAAGTTGCCCAGGCGGGTCTCGAACCCACAGCCTCAGGCAATTCACTCACCTCAGCCTCCCAAAGCGCGGGATTACAGGCTGAGTTACCAAGCCCGGCTTTTTCTGTTTACTGTTTGAATTTATTTGTGATATTCTGTTCCATGAATAATATTTTAATTTTTATAGTCACAGTTTAAAATATGCTTTTTTCATGCTTGCTCAATATACGTGAGACGAAGAAAGAAAGATTCTAAATTGTGTGTTTTCTTTGAAGGCTTCTGAGTATTATGGAATATGCACAAAAGCCTCATTTCCTGTGTTTGCTTTGAGTACTTTAATGATTTCCTTTGATTTCATATAAATCTTTCATCCTACTGGAATTTGTTTGTTTTTCAGATATCTACCCCGTTGTTCCAACACCGTTTATTGAATAACACATCTTTCTTACTGCATTCATTTTCTTAATTTCAAAAACTAAAGTTAACATATTAGATGTATGGGAATTGTACTGTACCAGGTAATTTCTGGTCTTGCTAGACTCTATAAAAGGACTTTTAAAAAATGACTACCAGTTTTATATCTTAAATCATTTTTTTTTGAGTTGGGGTCTCACTCGGTTGCCCAGGATGGAGTGCAGTGGCACACTCCTGGTCACCGCAGCCACGACCTGCTGGGTTCAGGTGATTCTTTCGCCTCAGCCTTCCAAGTAGCCGGAACTACAGGCGCGTGCCACCATGCCCAGCTAATTTTTTTTTTTATCGTAGAGATGAGATCGTACTATGTTACCCAGGCTGGTCTCGAACCTGTGGGCTCAGGCAATGCTCTTGCCTCGGCCATTCAAAGTTCTGGGATTACAGGCTTGAGCCACCATGTCTGGCTTCAGTTTTATATCTTATATCATTTTTGGGGTTTTGTTTTGTTTGTTTTTTTTGAGTAGAGGTCTTACTCTGTTGCCCAGGCTGGAGTGCAGTGACATGATCATGGCTCACCACAGCCTTGACCCCCTGAGCTAAAGCGATCCTTCCACCTCAGCCTCCCGAATAGTTGGGACTACAGACGTGCACTACCACGCCTGGCTAATTTTTTGTAGAGACAAAGTCTCACTATGTTGTACAGACTGGTTTCAAACTCCTGGGCTCAAGCAATCCCCTCGCCTCAGCCTCCCAAAGTCCTGGGACTACAGGCGTGAGCCACCATTCCCAGCCTTATCTTAAATAGTTTGCCTTCACTTTAATACACTACAAAATTACTTGTAAGACAATAATGGTCAGCTCCTTTTCCAAGGCCCTTGTGAGCGCACCTGCTTGCTTGGATCTCTCTTCGTCTCATATCTCATTAGCACCGTATTTTGAGCTTTTCTACTCATGAATGACCTGCACAACACAATTTAGGATTTGACTGTAGTTGTACCATGCAGCATAGGACTGTCCTGCTGATTAAACATTTCTTTTTTCTTTTTTTGAGTTGGAATCTCACTCCGTCGCCCAGACTGGAATGCAGTGGCCACTCCTGGCCACCGCAGCCTCGACCTGCTGGGCTCCAGCGATCCTTCTGCCTCAGCCTTCCGAGTAGCTGGAACTACAGGCACGTGCTACCATGCCGGGCTAATTTTTGATTTATTGTAGAGATGAGGTCTCGCCAAGTTGCCCAGGTGGGTCTTGAACCCGCGGGCCCAGGCAATCCACCCACCTTGGCCGCCCAAAGCGCTGGGATTACAGGCTGAGCCACTGAGCCCGCCTTCAGTGCTTATGATTAACAATTTCTTGCATGTGTACTTATCTCCCCAACTAGCCAGTTCTTTTTTATGGACACTAATGTAACTTATACTTTTTTCCCCGTCTTTTGAGCACTAAATACAGAGATACAAAGGAGGCAGGGATTCATTCAAACAACATGGACTAAACAGGCTGACCATCTCATCTATTTCTTGGTTGTGTGTGTGTGGTGTGTGTTTTTCCTTAAGTGACTCAAGCTCCCAAATTTCCTGAGGCTATCTTTACAAAACATGTGCTACTGCTTTATTTTTACCTGTGCACAGCGACAAAGACTTCGGGGGTCCAGGAAAGAAAAGATGTATAAAGATAACACCCGTGGAAGCTTGGTCGTAAAATCCAGGGCTTCTGCTGGAATTTTCTCCTGGAGCTTTCGGCAGCAGAACTTTTGCTGTGAAAGGGAGCAACGCTCCAACAGGCCAGTGAGAATTCTTCTCCTTTGAGAGTCCGTCCACTTGTCGAACTGGAAAAACAAAACAAAACGTGGAAAGCTTCAGGTTTAATCTGATAGCAGACTCCTGCCGAGTAAGAAATGAGAATGGCCTAGAAAGTGAGTTTAGTCATTTGCTTCTAGCGCAAATCATGAATTTCTTCTCCCAAATCAGTAAATCCCATGTTTTTGCCACCTTCCTGGCCTCTCTTACATGTATATGTGTGAGCACGTGAACAACCTGGGTGTTCAAGTTAAAGTACACTTCACTTCAAAGCTTGCAGTTACATAAGAATGCTAGGTCGGGCTCGGTGGCTCAGCCTGTAATCCCACGCATTTGGGAGGCTGAGGTGAGTGGATTGCCTGAGCCCGCGAGTTCGAGACCCGCTTGGGCAGGAGAGACCTCATCTCTATAATAAATCAAAAAAATTAGCCGGGCGTGGTAGCGTGCGCCTGTAGTTCCAGCTACTTGGAAGGCTGAGGTGGAAGGATTGCCGGAGCCCAGTAGGTAGAAGCTGCGGTGGCTGGGAGTGGCCACTGCACTCCAGTCTAGGCGACAGTGAGACTCCAACTCAAAAAAAAAAAAAGAATGCTAAGTCAGGCTAACCCCTTCTGGTCCCCTCCTACTCTGGGAACTTTTTTGTCCTCTCAATACATCCTGCTTTCTCAAAAAAAAAAAAAAAAAAAAATTAAGTTGGGAGCTGACTATATTCCTAAACTGAGACAATATCTATTTATAAAATATAATTTCATCACTAAGCATCAGAGAAATGCAAATTAAAACCACAATGAGATACTATCTGACACCAGTCAGAATGGCTATTATTTAAAAAAAAAAAAAAAAAACAGGCCTGGTGCAGTGTCTCATGCCTATAATCTCAGCACTTTGGGAGGCCGAGGTGAGAGGATTGCCTGAGCCCATGGGTTTGAGACAAGCCTGGGCAACTTGGAGAGACCTCGTATCTACAAATAAAAATTAAAAAATTAGCCAGGCATGGTGGCATGTGCCTGTAGTTCCAGCTACTTGGAAGGCTGAGGTGGAAGGATCGCCTGAGCCCAGTAGGTTGAGGCTGCGGTGGCCATGAGTGTGCCACTGTCCCCCAGACTGGGCAACAGAGTGAGACTCCGACTCAAAAAGCAAAAACAAAAACAAAACAGGTGTTGGTGAGGTTGTGGAGAAAAAGGAATACTTGTACACTGTTGGTAGGAAGGTAAACTAGTTCAGTCCCTGTGGAAAACAGTTTGGAGATTTCTGAAAGAACTAAAATAGATTTACCATTCAACCCCGCAATCCACTATTGGGTACAGATCCAAAGGAGCATAAATTATATAACCAAAAAGACTCCTATACTCGTATGTTTATCACAGCACTATTTACAATAGCAAAAACAAGGATCTAGCCTGGGTGCTGGTCAACAATGGGTTGGATAAAGAAAACGTGGTACACACACACCATAGAGTATGAGGCAGCCATAAAAAGAATGAAATCATGTCCTTTGTAGCAACCCTAATGCAGCTGGAGGCCATTATTCTTTCTTTCTTTCTTTCTTTTGAGTTGGAGTTCTCACTCTGCTGCCCAAGTTGGAGTGTAGTGGCACACTCATGGCTACCACAGCCTTGACCTGCTGGACTCAGGTGATCCTTCCACCTCAGCCTTCCAAGTAGCTTGAACTACAGGCATGCACCACCACACCCGGCTATTTTTCTATTTATTGTAGAGGTGAGGTCTTGCCAATTTCCTGGGCTGGTCTTGAACCCCTAGGCTCAAGCAATCCTCTCATGAAGGCCATTATTCTAAGTGAACTAACACAGAAACGGAAAACTAAATATAAGTGGGAGTTAAACACTGGATACACACAGACGTAAAGATGGGAACAACAGACACTGGGGACTCCTAAGCGGGGGAGGAAGGGAAGGGTGCAAGAGTTGAAAAACTAGACCGGGCTCGGTGGCTCAGCCTGTAATCCCAGCACTTTGGGAGGCCGAGGCAAGGGGATTGCCTGAGCCTGCCGGTTTGAGACCAGCCCGGGTAACTTGGCGAGACCTCATTTCCAGAATAAATAAAAAATTAGCCAGGCGTGGTAGCGGGCACCTATAGTTCCAGCTACTTGGAAGGCTGAGGTGGAAGGATCACCGGATCCCAGCAGGCTAAGGCTGTGGTAGCTGTGGCCATGCCACTGCACTCCAGTGTGGACAACAGAGTGAGACTCCAACTCCAAAAAAAGAAGAAAAACTACCCACTGAGTATCATGCACATAATTTGAGTGATGGGCTTAACAGAAGTCCAACCCTCATCATCACGTAACAAATCTGCACATGTACCCATTGAAACAAACATACAAACAAACAAATTTTCAAGAGAAGATACCTGGCCAAAACCAAAAGAAAGGCTCTTAAGGGAAGAACGCCTGCCAGCTCAGTGAGCCACTTCACAAAGTCTAAATCTCTCTTTTCTTCCATAGCCCATAACAGAAAAGAAAATAGGGAATTTGGGGCCAGTTATATTTTTGTATATTATTGTATTTCACATATTTAGTACAGTTTTTATAAAATAATCAAAATTGTATAATGACTTTTAGGTGTAGTCATAAAATGCTCTGACTGCCTAAGAAGGCATGTAAGGCAAACATTTTTTTTTTCAAGTCTTATGACAAGTTGACCTCATTATAGTCATGCAATGTATTTTATTTCAATGACTAGTGTTACAAAACAAAATTTCAACAAGCTGAGTTTAAAGATTGAACTGGCTTTGATTAGTGATTCAGGAATCGGGTAGTATCCCATCTGAAGAACAAGTGACTATGGAGCTGAGCAGAGGAGGTTAGCTTTGAAGGCTGAAAAGGGCTAAAGAAAGCAGAAATAAGAAACAAAAAGTGGATTGGTTATTTCAAAGTTACTTTCCTCATAAGGTTAAACAGAGGGGACTTTTTTTGAGATGGAGTCTTACTCCGTCGCCCAGGCTGGAGTACAGGGGCATGTTCACGGCCACCGCAGCCTCGACCTGTTGGGCTCAAGCGATCCTTCTGCCTCAGCCCTCCAAGTAGCTGAAACTACAGGTATGCGCCACCATGTCCGGCTAATTTTTTGATTTATTGTAGAGAGGAGGTCTCCCCAAATTGCCCAGGCTGGTCTTGAACTCATGGGCTCAGGCAATCCTCTCACCTCAGCCTCCCAAAGTGCTGGGATTACAGGTGTGAGTCTCCGCGCCTGGCAGAGGGAACTTTCTTATGCTGGCTCAGTTGAACTTCTTTTTTTTTTTTTTTGAGTTGGAGTCTCACTCTGTCACCCAGACTGGAGTGCAGTGGCTGCTCCCGGCCACCGCAGCCTCGACCTGCTGGGCTCCGGCGATCCTTCCGCCTCAGCCTTCCAGGTAGCTGAAACTACAGGCGTGCGCTACCACGCCCGGCTAATTTTTGATTTATTGTAGAGATGAGGTCTCGCCAAGTTGCCCAGGCGGGTCTCGAACCCACGGACTCAGGCCATCCACTCACCTCAGCCTCCCAAAGCGAGGGATTACAGACTGAGCCACCAAGCCTGGCTCAGTTAAACTTCTAATTGGTTACTGTGAATCTCCTGAGGGTTTTTGTTTTGTTTTTTTGAGAAATTGGCCCATTTTTAATGTTCAGTTAGTTTGCTCTGGCCGGTAGGTCCTGGTGCAGAAGCTCAGTCCGAAACAATGGCCACCCATTAATTTTGTTTAACAGTGGGAAAGCTTGCTGGCTAAAATTATTCACTCCTACAGATTTACTCAATGATCCACAGAGCTCATCTTGGAGACTATCATTCAATCGGCGGAAACCCTAAAATGAAAAAACAAAAACCTCAACAATTAATACAGCAGGAATGAAATTGACTTGTATGGGTCAATGTTCTCCTGTCAATGTTTCTGTACAACCCATACCTCCGACTCCCACAATGGAGACTTCTTCCCCGGCTCTTTTGAGATGGAGAACTAGGAAAATGAGTAGAGCAACCAGACCAGAATGGCTAGAACCAGGGGAAATGGCCCTGGAAGCTAAACTGATCTATGAAATAAAGAACCAAGAGGGAGGTGTGAGGAGACGACAGTTTCGAGGCATGGCTTGAGTGGAGTTGTGGGATTCGTGGAGCTTATGATTGCCTCTGCAGTGGTTAGTGTGAGGGAGCTGGGGAAGGAAGGGAGGAGATTGAGGAGTATTGTTAGGAGTTTTGAACTGGAGCACCTGTGATTTTTCTTTGAGACAAAACGAAGACTGGAATTCATTTTAAGCGTTTTTTTAGGCAGGGCTACATGAACCTACAGAGGCTGATCTACATGGGACTCAGGATGATTATGGTTACAAAAAAATGTTCATGATATGATACCTACCACAAATCAGAGATAACTCTGAATGCCTAACCGTAGGAGATCAGCTAAACAAATATATCAACATGATAGGAGAAAGTATGGTATTGTGGATTGAGGGTGGGCTTGGGAATAAGACCATCTGGTGTCTTACTCCCAACAGTCTATGATTTATTTTACTCATTAGAAGATATTTCAGGCCAGGTACAGTGGATCACATCTGTAAACCCAGCACTTTGGGAGACAGAGGCGGGGGGATTCCTTGAGGCCAGGAGTTTGAGACCAGCCTGGGCAACACAGCAAGAACGCATCTCTACCAAAAAATAAGCCAAGCAATGACAGGGTATGCCTGTAGTTCCAGCTACTTAGAAGACTGAGGTGGAAGAATCACCTGAGTCCAGGAGGTCGAGGCTGTAGTGAGCTGTGATCGTGTCACTGCACCCTAGCCTGGGCAACAGAGTAAAACCCAGACTCACAAAAAAAAAAGGGAGAAAGAAAGAAAAGAAAAAATATTTCAGCCTCAATTTCCTCCTTTATATATTAAGAATAATTGAGCCGGGCCTGGTGGCTCAGCCTGTAATCCCGTGCCTTGGGAGGCTGAGGTGAGTGAACTGCCTGAGCCCGTGGGTTGTGGGTTCGAGACCCACCTGGGCAGGCGAGACCTCATCTCTACAATAATTCAAAAAATTAGCTGGGCGACCTGTAGTTC